CGAAGGTATGGAGCTGTACCGAGTGACCCTGCCAGATGTCCGGTAGCACTGGCTACAAGAAGTATCGCCAGCCTCCGGTCCTCAGAATTTCTCTTCAAATGATGTCATCCTTTCTGCTTGGCTGCACACACAAAGGGTGTCCATCGTGATGGCGAGATCTTGGTTTAAGCGACAGCCAGTGGGGAAAAATAAGCTTACGGAAACATCATTGAAATCCATAACTGCTGCACGCACACTTGTCAAGTGACGAACGCTTGACTAATCACAGTGCGAGGAAAAGGCATGTTGCAAATCTCTCGAAGTGAACATAACTTTGCACCTACACACATGAAATGCAGCTTTCCAGGCCATAAAAATGTTGCTTCTGTGAATTCTTATGCCAAAGTTTCTAATGCACAACATCAAAGATGAGCAGCACCTTGGTATCTCGATCACTGCCACTGTCAGCCGCGTCCACTTGTCCTCCCGCACAAACGGTGCGTTCTACCGCCACTGCCATGCCTCCGTGGTTTCTCATCTAGAGGGTTAATAACGCACTTCTCACAGTCAGAACACAATCTGGCTTGAAATCCTCTTCTGTTCGAGGGTTGCTTAGGCGGTGTTTTTCAGGCCCCAATTTACGGTGGAGTATTCGAAAAACGCATAAACATCAGATCTCGACAGAGTGGGAATTTCAGGCCGAAGAGACGTGCCAATGTCCTCCGCCAAGCGTCGCCGTATTATCTGCAGTGACTCGTCCTCCGATGAAGAATAGCGTGTAAGCAATGACAACGACACTAACCACAACTAATTGCACAACTAAATCTGATTGCCTCCAACCACGAGTCTTGAACGCTCACACCATGAAAGGGCCGTACTAGAACAGAGGACACGGAGGAAGATATCACAGGAGTAACCTCTGTGGGAAGAGAATGCCCTTTTGGCAGATAATCGAAAAGAATATTCTCTGGCGTTGACCCTTTCTGTTATATAGTTTATCTGGTATCTTCCAGTAAACCTTACTCAGTCATCCTTACTCAGTCAGTATATGTAATATGTTTATTGTTGTTACATGCTACCATATACGTTTTTAACCATGATAGTAACTGACACGTGCAGTGTGATAGGTGATCTATGGTTTGGTCGAGGTAGAAATATAATATACTGACAATATACTGCAATGTGCAGGATTTTCCTATTACCCTCAAAGCTTGTTTTGGACTGTTACGTAAAGAAGTGGTAGCAAAATATTGGCCAGGTTTTAGTCGTAATAAATATAATAAATATCTAATGAGCATGTAATGACGACTCTTTGGACTAAAATCTGTTTTATCATAGAGTAACCCTTGGGTCATTTTTCATAATGAAGGCGATATTTACGCATTAGGCGGTATGAAAATCTATTGTCATTTTGTTGTTGATTTTAGGCTAAAGTTTTGAAATTTTGAAGAGCATAGGGCGAATGTGTTCAACCAATGGTCATGGAATCTGCCACTTATAGAATGCGACAGTCGATGTGCTTCCGGTGATCGTGGCCGGCAATGCCCGTTTGTTTTGTGTGATAAGCCCTGATAGTTCGCCACCATTCAGTAAGAGGTACAAAATTCGAAGATATTTATTGTATTTCGAATGCCTCAGCCCATATGCATTAGAGTTGCATGCATTATACAATCACAAACCGTTTGAATACAGAGATGATTTTGACAGAATATCACGCTAAGTGAGATAGGTACTTTTCGGGTTGGAGTAGGGTTTTAAACATTCTATAGGCATCATATCGTGAGCTATTATCTAAAACTGAATGCCAATCTTGATTAAATATATTGATAGCTGTTTCTCGAAATTGATACAAAAAAAGATTCACATTGCCAGATGACTGCTTTAGCCACACAAAACCATAACCAAGAGAAAATAGAAGATTTCTTACATGAGATGCCCATGTTACTTTACCCAACTCATTCAGATGAACAAGCGTTTTTAGGTAGTCTATATTCATGCATACATATAATTTTATTTTATGCATCTGATATAGAAATTGATATACAAAGGATATCTCCCACATTCGCCATATACCATACATGTTGGTGTTGACTGCCCCACACAAAGAAACGTTTTACACGCTAATAGATGTATTTTTTCGATACTTTCAAAACGCTGGAATCCCCATATAGAGCAGAGTAAGATGTATGGCTGTATTTGTGAATCAAATAACCTAATAAATATTTTGGGCGTCAACAATTGACAATAAACTAATTAATGCTTTCTTTGCTCTCAAGGCTAGTTCAGCAACCGTTTTTTTAAACATAAAACCAAGATATGTGTACTGATTTCTTACAGTTACAAGTTGATTATCGAAACTCCATCTTTCTCTTACCGCAAGTGGGATACCTTTTCTGAAAATGACTATACGTGTTTTATCAAGGTTCACGGATAGGTTCCATGTCTTTGTGTAACGTTCTAAAATATTTAATTGTGTCAACAACAACAACTGATTCTGATAGAAGAATAACATCATCGGCAAATAATAGTATTTAGATTTCTAATAGATCTGGAAACATTTGGACACCATTGTTTTCCGTTTGCCATAATTTCGTAGTATAATTCATTGATAAAAAAGGAAAAGAGGATGGGGCTGAGAACACAACCTTGTCTCTCAGGCCGATCGAACGATCAAAAATCAGGTAAAATCGTCACCGCAGCGTACGCATGCTTTCACATTATCATACATTGCTTTCAGAACTAAGTACATTCTCTCTGTAAGCCAAGAATTACATAAACAGTACCAAAGTTTTGAACGATCAACAGAATCGAAAGCTTTGCGAAAATCGACAAAGGCAACATATAACTTCCGCTTACGGCGAGATAAACATTTTTCTACTAGGGCAAGTAGTGTAAATATATGATCTGACGTTGAGTATTTTTTCCTAAAACATGCTTGCGATTCAGGAATAATACCTTTCATATTTGCCCATTTTGATAGTCGTTTATTTAGAACCGTATTAAAAACTTTGCCATGAGTACTCATGAGGGAACTACCTCTGTAATTATCAGGGTTTGTACAATCCCCATTCTTATGTATAGGGATGATAACTGACATTGCCCAACTGCGTGGAAATATACCATTCTCGAACAATTTATTAGAGCACTTATTCAAAACGGCATAATGATAGATTGTGATCACTTCAACATTTCTGCAACAACGGTCCAAACCAGCTGATGTTCCGTTTTTTCAGTGCATCAGCGCTTCCACAAATTTCCTGATCTGTAATGGTTGAATCTAATACAAGTGTTTCTGGGTCTGAATCATTTTCAAATGTCACGCTTATTGCATCATCTTGCATATCAGTGCTTGTGAAAGAATCATTAAAAACAATCATTTCTAAAGAAGAAATTAAAATGAGCAAGCCATGATATTTTAGTACTTCTATTGCCAATGATTAGTCTATTCTTGAATTTTCGGGATTTGTGTCCAAGACGCTGGTGGTGAACCACTTCATTTGCAAAGTCTTTCTACATTTCCTTTACGCAAGTCTGATTTGCATCTACTACAGAGGGTTTTGTATCTATTTCTTTCCTTACAGTAGAGTCTCCTGTATAAATCACTACGATGTTTTCTAAATTTCCTGTGATTTTCGTGCAACACTTCGTGCGTTTTTACACTCGGAGTTTAGCGATGTCACCGTCAGAGGTTTCATTATACGTTTCTTCATGCAACTAGCAGACTCTACAATCATGCATATAAAATCATCAATTGCGTCATCAACGCTACTGTCAGGTTTATCTAAAAAATATCTGAATTCCAAGAGCATAATTCGTTTTTAGATTTTCCCAAAAATTGTCATAAAAAGCATCATTCCAAATGATTTTATGAAGTAAACCTTCCGACGATGTATTAAGATTCGACGTTTTCAAGGAAGGAAATTTACAGGTTAGTTCCAGTGGCAAATGATCAGATTTTAATTGATCACCTATATTCAGCTTGCTGATATATTGAAAAACGTCAGGAGAAGAGATGAAATAGTCATCAACGATATTGCCTTGTTGTCCCATGAAAGTAAATTCACCTCGTTCGTCTCCGAACACTCTGCCATTAACGATGAATAGCTGAAACGCATAACAAAGGTCTATCAAGTTTTGTCCGAACTTATTAATTACAGTATCATATGACTTTCGATTATCAACTGTGATGTCATCATCATCTTCAAATACACCAATGCTGATATTTCTGTCATCATTGACAGGAACCTGTGGGTTATTGCTCACACCTGTTCGAGCGTTCATGTCACCGTACAACAATGTATGCGAATTACACAATGAAAAGTTATCAACTTGATCAAGGTTACATTTTGACTGAGTGTGATTATAATAGGACGATGTATGTGGTATGTATGTACATAGTAAATTAATATTTCAGTGAAGAATATATCTTTTGTGAAACTGAGACACACAAAATTATCAATGTCTGTTTTCATCCACTTACAAGCTTTACTCAGTGACTTGTGGACACATGCACAGACGCCACCAGAGAGTCTTTCATACTCGGATAACTTGATAGCAGGGCTGTACAATATATCGTAGTTAGGTAACCAATCAACATTAGAAGCATTATCAAAAAACAAACAATGACTTATTCAGATGAATAGAATACACATAACTTTACAACGTGTGTACGGTGCCCTCACACGTAGAAGCACAAAGAATCGATATGCGACCCACGTTAAAATATTACTGGTTCACCAAAGACAACCGGGACTATTGTGTCGCTGTTTACATGTGACGTTGACAAAGGGTAGTCGATTGTCGCTCATGGAGTACCGTTTCACCCTGTGTCACCTACACATTTTCAAAACACCAAATGAACAATATAGCAGTGTGTCTACATCAATGCAGAACTATGGATATTGTATGTTACGGCACCGTTTGTTTTTTTTATTTGACGTTCGAATAGCTCACTACCACGTCGGTCGGGGAAATTGTAAAGCCCGTAGACTGGGTATACCCAGTGGTTGACGGTTTCAATAATGACACAAGACAGGCAGGCAACAACAGTCAATGATGTCAGTGGAAAGACTCTACATCCTCCTACTTCTTTACTTCAGCCGTTGTGTTGGTAAGTATTTAAAATCCTCTATGCCACTCGTGTTAGTGTCATTTACAGTTCGTGGATCAGTAATATCATATACTTGAACCAGCCTTGTTTGCTCATGTACGAACCTTCTCCAACAATAGTATAGGACCTACTATAGGTATGCATGGATCACAAGTATCTTGTCAGACGTGATCATTAAACAAGACAGGATCTACATTCCCAAGATTGGACCAGATCGATTTTGTGATTTTAAAGCTGAAAACTACTGACTATGAAACGGTAAGAGCTCTTGCCAAATGCTTGTTCCAACTTCCAACCACATCAGCTGCCTTAGCAGTTCCTGACGTGACAGACGCCGCCTGTCAAACAACGTTTAATTGAATTTAAACAATGTCAGAACAATTTTCAGTTTGATTTTTATGACTGACATGTACAGCAACACAATGACATGTTCCAAAGTAAGTTGTAGATTTACACCAACCATGTTAGCGTGCACACCATGAAACACGTTTACACGAGACATTTTTGTACTAAATTCATTTTCTAAATCACATACAATCATACAGATTGGTTCCTAAATAATAACACCCATGGATGGAATAGCCTCTGCTTTTTTAGCAGTATACAATGAAGCAATGCCGTTGAAAGCAATTGAACGTTTGCTATGCCCGAGGTCTAAACATAGCATCATTGGATCCAGCTTTTTTCGAATGTTAGGAAAATGTTCATATATTGGGACGAAATGGAATCGGTTTTTCACATGAAGAACAGGAGCCAACTCACACTTCAATACAAAGTGTCGGGCGTAGCTTTACTTCCAAAGACGACGGCAATAAGCTATGTTCATATCAAAGTCGATGACTATCAATGTAACTAGACGATAAAAGCTTTACTTTTTTCAAAACTTTATGACTTCAGATATATACGTGCAAAAATATATCTTTCTTCACATTTTGGTATTGCAGGTTTGGCTAGATCAGTCTCATGCTTGGTAATGAATAATAACACCAGGGGAGGATACAGCTTTTTGAGAAAGGGGGTGGGGATGGGGTTGCACACACTAATGAGAAAAGGGGCCGGGGTGCACTCTTCATTTTCACCCGAGTTTCAATGCTCATTTAACAAACCTTCAGGACAAATGAGGGGGTGCGCACCCCTACACCAAACCCTCTGGATCCGCCTATGTACACACATGTAATATGACTCATTTCAGTTGAGGCGACTTCATCTTCGTGCTTCACTGATGGATGTCGACATGGAAACGGTGGACTAAGATGTCAGTCATGCTACGTTGGTTGCTATGGAGCAAAGTGCACCATCCCATGTAATGACAACTGTCACACAGACGGGTGCAACAGAATCACTGGGGAATGTTTTACATGTAAGCGAGGATATTATGGACGAGACTGTAATGTGACATGTCCGAAAATATGTTCTAGCATCAAAGCGGTCACGAATATCTGTGACCGCCATACTGGTGCTTGTTCGGAAACCTGTGACGGAGGATTGACTAGTGAACACTGCAAGGATCAGGTCTGTAACAAAGAAACCGGTCGATGTATCCTTGGCTGTCAGGAAACTTGGACAGGAGAATACTGCAACAGAACATATGATACCTGCCTTAATGCAAGATGCAGCTGGACCGGATATTGTCTCCTTGGTTGCAAACCGGGTTTCTATGGAAACATGTGCGACAAAACGTGCCCTCGATGTTGGACCAGTGGCTGTGACAGAGGAACTGGTATATGTGAACAGTGCCGTCCAGGTTATCGAGGAAGACACTGCAACCACTACTGTTCTGAAACGTGCTACAGAGGCAGGGATGGACACAGGCATTGCGATCGTTACAACGGGAACTGTCTGGAGGGTTGTGAAGTAGGATGGCACGGTCATCGTTGCGCCACTCGGTGCAGCTCCTCCTGCAACTCGTCTCGTTGTTACAGCCATGATGGTGCCTGTGTAGATGGCTGTAAGTCTGGTTGGCATGGCAAACATTGTCTGACGCCCTGCAGTACAACGTGCAAGGAATCACTGTGTGCCAGTCAAGATGGTTCTTGTACCCGCGGCTGTGTAAGGGGTTACCATGGAAATCACTGTCACAGGAAATGTATCAATTGTACAAATGATGAATGTGACCAGTATGGGAGATGCAGATATTGTCTAGACGGATGGAGAGGAGAGAAGTGCGGACTCCGATGTCCCAGCGGCTGCCACACATGTGATGAAGACGGCGTCTGTGTGTCTAACAGTTTGACCAAGAGAGTGTCGGATCAAGCCCACGACTCACGTCCTGATGGTCACACCGACACATCATCAGGATCAGGCGACCAACTCACCTACACATATGTTTTGTGTTCCCTTCTTCCAGCCATGCAAATTGGATAATGCTGGAGTGTGTTTGTCTGACGGCTTTAAACAAGACAATGTTGGATCCATGAGATGATCTCCATGCCGATCCTCATATCACATCATCAACCTCAAGCGGCGCACACGCCTACACATATCTCTTATGTCCCTTTCGTCTAGCGATGTACGTTTATTGGATAATGATGGTGTGTGTTCGTCTAACAGTTTAACTCTTTCAATACGACGAAAAATGTTCACAGCTGCACATATATCCTAAGGACGTGATGTCACGTCCAGTCATCTACAACCCTTGCATACGACCAGATATTTCCAGCTGTAGCCTCTGAATTCGATGGACGAGATATGACGTCGGATTTTCCATACGAGGGATTTGATAACTCGATCGTCTACTCATACTAGTGGTGTCACGATACACCAATCTCACGATACGATACGTATCACGATTTTAAGGTCACGATACGATACGTATCGCGATACATAATTTTCGCGCCTTTTCATAGCATTACCTTACCGGCAACGTACGCACTCGCTGATTGGTCCATCAAAATAGTCTAGCCAATCACAAAAGCTGTTAGTTTCCAACCTATAGTAAAGCTAGCTACATCTATTTATCGGGGCGGTCTGGTGTAATTTTACTATCAAGACTTTGACGGAGATGGATATAGCATAAACATTTTAATCGATAAAGTTTTAAAATAGGAATCGATACACGCAAGCATGTATCGCGTATCGTATCGTCAGTAAAAATGTATCGATGCATCGATACATTCGCGTATCGCGACACCCCTAACTCATACTAAACATTTTTCACAGTTTTGTAGCCGTGTATCCTCTTCCTTCGAATGTAGTTCGTGTACTTTGTGACAGTGTATTTTTTTAAGGATTTACTTGATTATCTCCCCCTTGTCAAAACCACGTACTATATGACCTTGACATTTGGTGACCACACAGCGTTAAATGGCTGGTCATGGAAACTTGTATCTGACTGTATGCCAGGTTCTATCTGCCATTTGCGATGATGACAGTAGCTGTTACGACGTTTGACGTTTGATTGTTAGCAATGTTCTTTCACTGTTGACTGTCCTTATAGTTGTTACCACAGGTAACACTCGTTTCATCGTTGGTTGGATTTGGATGTTATGACCCTATAATTATAAGTAATGACATAAATCTACTAAATTGTGGTTGTTCTTCCACCGTAGTGTAGTCACTGGATTGAAAGAAATTTTCACAATTACCAAACTGCTGTGTAAATTAAATTATGTTTCTCCGTGTAGAAAAAAATGCATGTCCAATGTTTCTGTGCTAAAGACGACCTATTTTTTCTCTTTTGGTCTGAAACATTTGAATGAAAGTGAATAAAGATGTAATGAAAAAGATTCAGTTCATGTGGATTTTGATGTTATGCTATTCATGAATGGTCCATGTCAACCGTTGCAAACATAGATTGGTCATATCACGTCCCTCGTATGTAAGAGTCATGTTGCTAAAAATAGACTCGTATGGAAGGGTTGTGACCCTTCAGACGTAATATCTCGTCTTCGAATGGAAAGAGTTAAACAAGAGTGCTGTATCAAGCAGATCCCCCATGCTGATCGTCATAACACATCATCAAGCTCAAGCCCACATCTTCCATTGTATATTCGGTTCCTTTCTCCTATCCAGCAGGGGTAGCCTAATGGTTAAACCTTCCGCTCGTCACGCTGATGATGATCGTTCTATTTCCCACGAGGGTACAATGTGTGAATCCCATTTCCCGTGTCCCCGGCCGTGATAGTGCTGGCATGTTGCTAAAAGCGGCGTGAAGCCAGACTCACTCGCTTACTCTAATCTATGCGCTCAAATCGTGTCTTGTCAAAAGATGCATGTCAAAGGGGACAAGGAATAAGGGACGCAACTCTTCGCGTCCACAGAGGACGACTTGTGCGACTGGTGAAACGCTACCGCACATAGGGTATGGTGAAAGGTAGCAGTGCACGTCGATACAGGTATTGATACACCTTAGTATTCTTTACACTGGAAAAAAGTCCATGTTTACCAGCTTGGAAATGTCTTGGAAAAATGATGTTTCCAAGACATTTCCAATTTTGGAAAGATGATGTTTCCAAGACATTTCCAATTTTGGAAAGATGATGTTTCCAAAAATTTACAATTTTGGAAATGTCCAGAAGGGGAGATAACTGGTGGGTGATGGTAAATTATTGTTATTTGCACGCCCCGGGACCTAATCCCTTGTTGATTGATGAGTGAATCAAGGCAGTTAATAGTCACCAATTAACAAGGCCTACTGCCTTGTTAATTACCAAGATTTTATGCCTGTTAAAGAAGCCCCTGGAAGTGAGTTAAATCTTTGATGGGCATTAAGAAGTGGAATGCATTAATGTGACCTGATTTTCACCTGATGAAGGTGCAAGCATATGCTCCGAAACTTCGTGTTATTCACAATAAAGAAGTTGACATCCATAAATCCTGCTTTTCTTATTAAAAATGTAAGTTATTAAAATCTGCTGAGCTGTAGGCTTGTTAATCATGTCGCGATGTGATTATCGCTCTAACACACCTGAGAGATTCGTCAACAGTGTGGTATGCACAGGTGGTGAAACTTGTATTGTATTACATTGGGTTGGTTGCATATTGTTTTGTGTTATGCTGTCAGTTTGTATGCATGTGTGAATGAGGAACCTCTGATATTATGACATTGAAAACAGACTAAGCTTAACATTATTCAATGGTCAATATCGCAATGTTAGTGATATGGTAGTATACGAAAGTTTGTTTCACATTTTTGATAATACCTTCTTTTATGTAGATAAAATTATAAAAAAAATGAACGAATAATGCCATGCTTCTCTCATAGTAAGGGAAGATAATTTATATACTGATTCTGACCAAATTAGATATTTCTTTATCGTCCGAACAGAATTGACAAATTACGGATGTTTTGTGTGGGTGTGTGTGCATGCACGCGTGCATAACGTCTAACTTGATAGGTATTAAAATCAGGGTGCCGTTCCACTAATTATAACCGATCTTATCTAAGATCAGTCTTAGCAAGGTACGCCAATTTTACAATCGCCTTAGCTAACAGTTACACCCGTTCCACTACCCAATCTTAGGCCGATCGTAGCCGGTCCCGATCTTACGATCCGATCCAAGCTTAGATCGAGACTCTTTCGTGCGAGAGATGGAGGAATGGGAGGCACGAGTTATCTCCCTTTGCATAGTCTAGCAAATGATAGAAAGTAGTTTAGGAACCAACTGAGTGAGTGAGTGAGTTTAGATTTACGCAGAACTCAGCAATAGTCCAGCTATATGGCGGCGGTCTGTAAATAATCTAGCTAAGATGCATAGCGTTCACTAACATGAGCATTCATGTTAGTGAACGCTATGTATCTTAGCGATAAATAATCGAGTCTGGACCAGACAATGCAGTGATCAACAGCATGCGCATCGATCTGCGTGGTCAGGCTCGATGACATGTGTCAACCAAGTCAGCGAGCCTGACCATCCGATCCCGTTAGTCGCCTCTTACGACAGGCATGGGTTGTTGAAGTTCAATATATTCTAACCCGGGCCTTCATGGGTATTTTTGCAGAAAAAAACTAAAGCAAAATATTAGGGTAGTGAGCACCTGCGTTTCAGGTGCAAGTGCGTGAGAACGATGGGTATCAAGCATAATATAATAATAATAAATGCATAATTATAGTGCGCCTGTTCCACATCCTTGGGCATGCTCAAAGCGTTGTGTACAGATAATTTACACAAGAATATTTACAGCCGACATTATGAGTAATATCCTGAGAACAGGTTTTAAGTCTGGACTTTAAAAACGTCAATTGTGTCAGAGCTTTTAATATGTGCCTGAACCTTGTCAATCAGAATAAACAAGGCGTCACGAGGCTATAGCGTATGTAGAATCTGTCAGTGGTCTTGAATAACACGCGGTCTGCCTTAAGAATTCCCCACCAAATATGCGCAGTGAAATCAAGCATATTTGAATCTTTTTGCTTCAGAACATTGTTCACTTCAAGGCTGTCCCTATTCTTAACAATGACGTTGCAATATTGTTGTACAAATGCGTTACACCGTCTCGCTCGGTTGTGTTCCCATGACGACAGTGGTCAGACTGGCCTGACATTTGTAAAGCTTCAGTGCAGTGTTTGTTTACATCACAGAAATATAGAAATTCATTTCATGGGGAACTTTAGGGGACGCTCACGGTGAAATGCTCGCTCTTATTTTTCACATAGAATAGGAAAACCACCTTTTTGGTTTCTCTACGATTGATTTTAGCTATTCTAAGTTGGTCATGAGCAACTTAGACTTTGAATCTTAACTTTACGATTGACGTAGGTAAGATTGGTTAGTGGAACGGTATGTCGATCGTAACGTCACGCTAAGATTGAGATTTTAGGAGTTTACGATTAACATAGGGCTAAGATCGGTTAGTGGAACGGGACCCAGGTCGTTTGTAACCATAATGACTATATTGGTTGGAACACTTGAGGAACAAAAATAATTTCACTCTTCAAAAGGAACTGGAACAGATACATTTCTCATGTTTTCATATGAGCTTCAAAACATTGAATGAATTAATGCTGTATGATGAAATGGATCAGAGACACATGTAATGGTCAAAAACATATAATCACTATGTTAGTTAACTCATGGCCAGACACGTCAAACTGGTACCGATAGATGTACACCTAATACGTAAAAATTCAGTATTTCTTAGTACCTGAAATATAAAACACGAATTTGGGATGAGATGTTTTAATCTGAGATCAATCTGTTAGGTAGCAGTTTACTAAAGTAGAACTTAAATCAACTTCAAAAGATTGATCATTCGCAAAGTGAAGCAGATCTCACTTATACTACAGTAAACAGTATGGGGATACACAACGGAACATACCACTTACGTGATAACAACTCCCTGCTTATTGCGTAGAGCGGCATTTCGATGTACAACGTTCAGGATAAACAAGCTGATTGAATGTTGATTGATTCCATCACTTGGACAATGGAGTGGATTTCGACTTGTTGATCTTACTCTCCTGTTGGCCCCAACGACGTGCTACTTGCTGAATTATCTGTTGTTAATTTGCTGCTTGTCACTATGCATATATACTTCTATTCACCTGGTTGTAGTAACTTTTATCTTGATAACGGCGTGAGAATATACATGGAAACTCCACTCTATCGACCTTTGGTCCAAACGGTTGAATTAAGAGAAATGTTGACGCCCGTCTGTTAGCAAATTAACATTGGATTACAGAGACAATGAAAGGCCTACGTGTTGATAGAAGAGGATATTCCGGATTATGCGAATGAGAGCACACCTAATGAGAAAACGAGCCAAATATATGTATAAAGATAGTGTATTATTTCAGTCTCATTT